TCACAGTACATTTCTCAATACGGTAATTTATTGTAAAATATTACTCTTTAATCCGGTAAATTCCTGGAAATTTTTAACAATGTGGGATTGTTGTGATTTATTAATGTACAATTCATTACAGATGTTTCATCAAAGCATATAAACCACAGTTTACAATATTTAATTGGGTATGATGAAAAAAAAAATTCTGAAATCGGTCACTTGTTCACAGAATTAATATTTTCTATGTGGTGAATGGCACATATTAGAATCGAATGTTGAATGACAAAATAACTTTATATAATTCATACACTAGGCGGTTGAGTACATAGAATAAGTGCATAGTGTAGTTTGGGACACAATTGTTGACACTTTTCCCATCTTGAAACCGTCTGTGTGTCATCACCATAGATATAAATACATAGATTTCTCAATAGTGGCTGTTTCTGTGGGCTGCTATATGCAAGCCATCCACCATATAGGAACAGTGAAAGGTGGTCCATGAACATTCAAGAGCAAGCTGACTGTGTGTCTGTAACTATAGTTCAATCATTACAACTCTCGGAAGATTTTAGCATGGTGATGGATATGACAGTGTTAATGTATTTGGTCTTGGCGGAATAGATCTGCTACGCTGCTGCTGAATTGCTGCTGCTGTTGGTTATTGCTGTAGTTGTAGATTATTGCTGCTGCTGCAAGCAAGTACAGGAACTTGCTACTGCCAATACATACGCCGGTACGGTGCCATGAGTATTTAAGACATACTGCTGCTGCACAAATAGCATATAAAATAACCCATAGCAGATCTATACAGGTGGAGCTGGGGAAGGTGGAGGGTTTCAGAGAAACTCTGAAAGCGTGCTGCAGGAATCTCTTGTGAATGCTAGCCAGCCATATAAATGCAAGGCATTAAGCTCATTGGCTGCATATGCAGCATGAACCAATCAGCTTGTGCCCAGTCGTTTAACTCTCTGAATATCATCGGTTACGTTAACAAACAGTCGCCTGCGCCATCTAGAATTTCATGACTGAAATATATATTTATATGCGTGTGTGAATATGCATATCTGCACAACAACTTTTTTTTACAGTTAGTGATGATCATAGATATGTATACCTAGAATCCACATTCAATTGCTCCAGACATGTTGAGGTGTTTGCCAGCTTGCCACAAACAGTCATTGTGTCATATGTGTCACCGATGTGTCATCTTGCTGCAGGGGACATCTTAGCCTGTATTACCCTAAGTGTACCAAAAGCTGAGGTTCTACATCAAAGTGGTTCTTTGTTACTTCAGCAGATGCAAATACATTTAATCCATTAATTGAGTTACAGTCTTCTTGAGTAACCTGGAGTTCAGTGACTTAAATGTGGTATAAAAGTGTCAATATTTTTCTCTCATCGTGGGACTGGATTGCATGAAGTTCATTCCAGAGCTTTAACCACTAGTAAAGTAAAGCATTACCTTTTTATTTGACAAGGAAATATCTAAAAATATAACTTTTTCAAATATTTTCATGTTTCCATTGACTGATAGCTCTCCTGTCCCCATATTGAGAGAAATCGGGGGTAAGTTCAGAGGCGTTGTGTGCGCTGTGTGAACATGATGTTACAGTAGTTCTAGACTAAATATGTACATGCATTTACTCATCTTACCTGTACAAAAACAGATTAATTGTTCTTTAAAATTAATAAAAAAGTGAAATGCAAACTCAGGATATGATGCAAACCTGCAATAATTACATATTTTAAATATACTTTACGTGTTTAATCCAATTTTATTAACCAGTGTCTTCGCTGCTGACCTTCAATTATCCAATTCAACCATACTAATAAGTAAAAATGACTTTAGATAAACATAACATTTGGTTTTAATTTTTTTTTATTGCTGAAGAGTGTTGAACTTTCTTCTCCTGCGTTCTACTGTACAGACATTAATTTACATTTCCTTCCGCCTGAGGCTCATTCATTTCACTTTTGGTGTGAAAGGGCTTTTACATCTGCCAAAATAGAAATTTATATAAAAACAAAAAAGCAGACCCTGCTCAGATTTAAAAAGTAACTCAAAAGTAATGTAACACATTACTTTCCATAAATGGCAACTAACACAGTTAGTAACTTTTTTATGGAGTAATGCAATATTGTAATGCATTACTTTCCCAAACACTGCTTACAACATAAACCAACATTACAAAATAGACCAATGACACAAACTGCTAAAAATGAACCAAAAACAAGTTCAGCACACACACACACACACACACACACACACACACACACACACACACACACACACACACACACACACACACA